AAATCCTGCTGAACTTACTGTTTGCATTTTTTGATGCATGTCTTCACTTGTCAAAAAAAATACATTATGCTAGTTCCACCCCATCCCCCTTTTCTCCCAGTATATTGAAGTTGTACTACAGATCTCTAGCTACAGTAAGCAGTTCTCCAAGGATGAAGAAAGAAAATGTACATACACATAGGAATTTCTTTTCCAGAGCTAAAATTGACATTTTATAAATAATTTCCGTGTTGCAAACTTGAGACTAAGAAATCACAGCAATTCAGTGATATGCATTTGGCATGAGTCAGTTTTAGTTCTTAGTGCTTTTCATTGGAAATGGCATAAAAAGTAAGATTTCTTTGAATTTTTTATGCTGTGGGCTTACAAGAGACAGAAGATGTTTTTCTCTTATAGATGTCTGGCAGTGCATGGCAGCAGAAATAACGAAAGGGTCACAAACCCCAGCAGTACTCCCAGGTCACATGCACCCTTAATTTTTAAAGAATCTAGAGACAACCTAAGCAGTTGATAACAGGTCATTTCTAGGTGATAAAGAGTATTTGATATGGAGTGCTGCTACACTAGCATTTTTATAGTCATTAGATACAGTAGTAGGTGTATGTACTTTTAAGTATGTAACGTAATAGGTAACTGAATTACAACCTTTTTTCTTTTTTTTGACATTTGACATTGATTTTGAGGTCTTAAAAGTTTTCTTTCAAGCCTTAAAAAAAATCTGCTTCTGTTTATTTTTATGTAAACACTTTCCATAGTCATTGACTTCAATATAAATGCAATTGGAAATGCCAAAGGCAGCTACTGTTATAAGAGAGACACGGAGACGTAGAGATTATAATTCTAGTAACTACTGCCAAAAGTGCTTATGCATCTTTCTTTCAGAAACCTTTGTATTAAACTAATTTTAAGAGCTTTGCTTAAGAAGAGAGCCTCCTTTGAAAGTAAACATTGGGTTTACATAGGTTGATGCTTTAGAAATTTAGTCTCTCAGTGACCTAGCAGTTGATATGAAAATATGAATTTGAAAATAAATAGCATATTGGATAAACTGTACTATACTTATGAAAGAAGCCAAAAAATTATGGATTAAGCTGAATTTGGAAATAATTACAGTTTTGAGTCGTAAACCAGATTCGTTATTAAAATGAAGTGATAGGTCCTTGACCCTTGGGTGTGCTTGGAATAAATATGGAACACAGTATTGTTTTTAAAACTATTTTGCTTTTATAAGCTAAGACAGATGTACAAAAAAGATGCAGTTTTTATTTTGTATTGGCAGCTTCCAAATATTTAGTATCTATTTCCAAGAGTTGCAATTAGTAAAGCAACCATGGTACTGAAATCTGCACATCCCACAAGCTAATTATATTTGCAAGGTCAGAGTGAATACATATTTTCAGAAAAATAAAGGGTTATATAAATATGTGTCTTCTACTTGGCTGTTATATCACAGTTTGTTGATCTGGAGTATAATGTGTACAATTCACAAATTTGTCTGATAACAGAAAGTGGTGTGTGATTGTGTTTATTTTACTAACCAGTATATTCACAGCAATCACTTCCAAATATCTCTCCAGTAAAGATGTGTTAATTACAAAACAGACAAGGTCTTCTATTATATTAAAGCTACTAACAAGAAGACAGCAGGAATCACACATGTAAATAGCATCATCAACCCCTATTTTAGTCCTCTGTTTTGATCTGTGAGTTGCGCATAGACCAAAGGTGCTATTAAAGACTGAGTGTATGAAATAGGCAGCATTATATGAACAAAATTTATTCAACAAGAAAACAGACCTTTAACATGAATTTAACAAGCCTGAGAAATTATAAACTATCATATGCTGCAGATTCATGCAGTGATAATAAACAAAAAAGGAAAGTAAGAGGTTTCCCTAAGCTAGCCAAACTGCTAATGGTTTTGTTATAAGCTGTCTACTGTTGCAGTGACCTCTGAAAAGTCTCAAGGCACTTGTACCAGAAAAAATTAAATGGTCAGGCTGGTGGATAGATTCAATGTGGTATATAGGATTTCAGCATGGGAAGGAATTATAAAAGTCTAGCATCGTATTCCTGAAAATATTCTTTATAGTTTAGTTTGGAAGTTTTTGTTAGTACGTATTAATGAGGTAGTTTTTATGCAAAGAGTTTTGGCTAAATTACTATTTGGATTTGTAAGATATAAACTGAACTGGTTTAATGTATGTATATTTTAAAACAAACTGTTTAGAAAATTCATACAGCTCCAAAAATGGATTCTTTCCCTTGTCCCCTCCCCCAAACCTTAATTAATCTTTGGGGGTTCTTTGTGCAGTATATTGTATCTAAGATACCGTTCTTATCCATGGAGTGACCACTTTGCTGTCATTGTGTTGCATCATGCTGTAAATACATAAACATGGAGAAATGCCTTCAGCTTATACACACCTCCAAGTGCTCACCAGGGCTTTTTCTTGAATCTTACTGTGGCATAATTAACACCTTCTTCACCCATTGCTCATTAGTGCACTGGACATTAATGAGTCTATTTTGATAGGTTGCTCTAAAGGAGAAACCCACTTATTCTCACAGCGCAGAAGGCAATTATAAAATTGTACAGAAATTAAAATGTAGACTATATTGCCATATTTATATTTTTATTGCGTACTAAATCTAATTTTGGTCTGCAGGTTGTTGAACATGTTAGTTTCCTTAAGACAGTTGCTATAGCGATGGCAGCAAATTCCTTTAATCTTGGTGTAGTTAAAGTATTATTTTCTATTGGCTATCATATTGCTGTTCAGGAATTGTCAATCTAAGCATGTAATTTCACACAGGCCATCATTTATTGAGCAGTGTATCACCTTTAAAATGTTTTATTTAATATAATTTAATTTTTTCTATTTTAGATTTGTTTCTAACTGATCATAATACCTACTTAGCTGGTATTTTCATTTCCTTTTTATGAAGTTTCACACCTGCTTATAATATTCCAGAGAAATATTACAGAGATTTTTGCATGTAAAATAGCTGCCTGCTGTTTGTTTAAAAGTGTTCAGTATAAAAAAAATACATAGACCTTTTATTGTGATATATGATGGAATTTTCATAGTTCTGTAGGATTGTTTTTTTCCTACAAATGATTTTACTAAAATTTTAAAATGGAATCAAAGGTTTCTAAGAACAGTTGGGCCAAGATGATGCTTTGCTCTTAAGTTTACCACAACACTTAAATGGTGGAAGTTCTTAATCCTGCATTTATTTAAGTACATCTGTCTATTAAAATGGTCATTTTTCTCCTTTTGCTTACATTTTAATTTTACCTTATGTGTTTTTTAGTAGAAAATTTTACTTCTTTGTTTTTTAAACAAGTGATTGAAATTATTTATGATGTTTTACTAAAGCATGCCTGATATTAGTACCTATTTTTATTATTGCTATATGAAAATAAATGATTAAAAAATTTTAAGTATAAGCAGGAGGTATAAACCTAGGCCATATTAATTTATATATAAATGTGAAAGTTGAGTCTGAATTTCAGTTATTGTAGAGGAAAGAAAAAAGTTTCCAAAACTATTAAATCATGTATGTTCTGGGGATACTTGGTTTTATTTTGAGGCAGGAGGACTCTTTGGGGAAATTCAGACTGTTAGAAATAAAAGCAAAATTCAAAGTTGATTTTTTTTTTTTTTTTTTTTGGCCTGCTGGAGTGGATACTTCTTGTAATGCTTCGGTCTAAGTTTGTATTCTTTGATACTGTTTGTTGACCCTTCATGGTAGCCTTTTAGAAAGGGTGATTTTCTTTTTCTTTCTTTAGATTTTGTTCTTTAGTGTACAGCGTGCATACATAACTCTGAACAGATTTTTCAGATGTGATTAGATTTCATGTGGCTTAACTTAAAAATAAATTTTATTTTCTACCTCTTACTCAACTAAACTTACTCAACTATACTCAAACTAATACAGATGGGAAACAGTCTAGTTGATGGCTGCTTTTATAACATTAATAAATCTCAGTTAAAGCACCTTTAAGGCAAATATAGAAAAATACATTATCTTGCTTAAAATTTTTTTTATGTGACAGCAGTATTGAGTTTATTATCTAGGTAATTGATTTAAATTCCCAGAAAGAAGTATCTGTCTTAAGTCCCAGTGCTTTACATAAAACTTAAACGAGTTCTATCAAATCCATGACAATGAACAGAAAAAAAAAAAATGTTAGGATACTATGTGATGGTTGTTAAATTTCTTAATATAAAAGAACAGATAATACTGTATCGTGTAAGACTATGTACTCTTTTTTTATGGAAATATTGAATACACTTAGAAAAAGATGATACCTACTGTTATTTCTGTACTATGAACTTAGGGCCATATCATTCTATACCATGTTCCTGGCTTAAAGCACAGATGACCTTGGTTTTTTCGTATTTGCCTCCTATTCTTGACAGTGGCTTGGATATTTAAGGCCTTCAGACAAGGTATAAAGTCTTTTATAGTCACAAGAAGTAAAAGGTATCTGACTAGAAGAGAATACGTGGAGCAAGTGCCTTGCTGGCTGTAATTTTGTTGTCATTTCAAGTACTGTGGTAGTATAATTGATGTGACAGGGCTGGGCTTTACATGTGGTCCCTTAGCTTGTGCTCACTTTCAGTTTTAGTTTCTCTTTGTCATTCATTTTGATTAGGTAAAATTTAGGTGACAAACATGCACACCAGTGAAGGCTGTTTGGTTGTGTAAGTTTAGTAATGATGTATTTCAATACTAAAGATGCAAAGTTAATGTTTTTCTTTACTGCTTCATGAAAATTGCAATAATTGGTGTCACCTTACATTACAAGATAGAGGGTGGTGTGCTGATGGCACAGTCAGCAGGAGGTTCTTTTTTATTAATATTATAATTAAATGATTTTCTGGAAATAGGCCAGAAACAGATGCAAGTTGATCATGCCTTGTCCACTGTTGCTTGGCATCATCACTTGCTTTTTAAAAAAGAATTGACCGGACACCTTATTTTTACAGGTTGTTATCGATGCCTTCAGATTGATCAATGCTAATATGATGGTCTTAGGACATGAACCAAGACAAACAACCTCAAATCTGGGTCATTTAAACAAGCCATCTATCCAGGTAATGCCTGTATTTGATAATGTGTTAAAACTCTGTTTTACATTTTAAAAGCCTATTATAAATGGTCATATTAAAATCTGATACTTAGCATTTTAATTTGTTTGCAATTAGTTTTTCTTGTGCTTCAGAAGATGATTATGGAAATTCTGTTGCAAAAGTTAGATTTGCTCATTTATGAGTCCATTTTTTGTGGAGTCTTTAAACTTTCCTAACATAGTTTGAGGATACCCTTTTTGGGAGCATAGGGGAGCCTTTATCTTGAGAGTACCTTATGGCTTTGCATGGTTAACATTGTAGTCAAGGACCAACACAAGTTTCAGGTAGACTGCGTTAGGTATCACTATTGATTGGTTAGTAGACATTTCTCATAGCATTAAAAATGGGAAAATTGATACACCTTGAGACAGAATTCCTAAATGGTACTTAAAGTTTTCTACCTTTTCTTTGTTTACTCTCCACATTTAAAACAAATTCTACAAAACATATCTGTGTATTACTTTTGATTCATTTATGTCTTGTTCTAATAATGTCAACCGTCGTTCTCACAGTTATGTGGGCATTTAATATCCTCTTGAGTGATTAATGTTTTCTGTGTATCATTCACGTGTCTCATTGTTTTTACACAAATCTTTATTGTTTGCAAAGATTATTTTAAATGTGTTTTTAAATGCACCACAAACTGTGTCTATATAGTTAATTGCTTCTCTGAAGATTAATTAAATGGACAGAAATACCAGTTTGGTTTAATAGAACACATAGGACAAAGACATTATAGTAGCTATTACTTCTTGCCTTCTGAAACCTTGCTCTGTCATATGATTGTCTTTGGGGAGTTGTGGCTTTGATAGTTAACCATGGTTAAGCCTGGGTTACACTCTGATAACTTTATACCTTTAGATGCTTACTTTTGTAGCAGTCGCTCATCTGAAATTTTCCGAAGTGAAATGTTTTGTTTCAAAGAATTGAGGTGTGTTGCTTTTGCATAAAATTTTTTTACAAGTCAGGGAAAACTGCAGAGTTTAATGAGTATGAAATAAGCTACCAGTGTTTTTGATTGGGTACAGACAAGCCCATGCTTGTATGTTCCAGGAGAATATATTATTGGACCTGTTTAGCCTGTGATAATGACCTTTCTTATAAACCCCCATAGTATCATACTGCTTCATTATTTTTTTGCAAAAGGTTAAGTAGCATCTCACAATCCAAGATCATTGTGATTACTACATGGTATATTTCTGCCAGAAGTTTTTACTAATTGCAAGTCAACAGCCACCTGTTGCCAATTTCATGTCTTAAATGTAAACACTGCTTTTTAACTTTATAAATTGAGTAAAATGAATATTAAAATCTGTTTTTTTCTTTTTTTTTTTTTTTTTAATTTCACCCATTCCTTTTTAATGTGGCACCAGAAAATGTTAAATGAGGCAGCTTACACTGACAGAGCATGAACGGGGGAGGGGCAGAGAGAGAGGGAGACACAGAATCGGAAACAGGCTCCAGGCTCTGAGCCATCAGCCCAGAGCCTGACGCGGGGCTCGAACTCACGGACCGCGAGATCGTGACCTGGCTGAAGTCGGACGCTTAACCGACTGCGCCACCCAGGCGCCCCAAATCTGTTTTTTTCTACAGCAGTCCAGTTTTTATTTTTCGGTGCTTCCTTACCGTCTGTCATTTAAGGTAGACCTTATAAATAAAGCAAGTTCCAAACCCAAGTAGAAAGACCTGTGTATATAATAGCTGCAACATCATTGTTTTTCCTTTCATTTTAGTTTGTTTTGCCTTGTAATTAAAATCTGTAAATATATTTATTTCACAGTTTAAATAGCGCCCATCAGAATGTCATCTATCTGAGTGCTTAATAGTTTTAGGACAATTTCAGTACTAAAACACTCAAATGGGATTAAGCCAACAAGTGACAGAACAAAGCCACACCTTAAAACTATTTCTCCCATCCAAGTACTAACCAGGCCCAACTCTGCTTAGCTTCCGAGATCAGACGAGATCGGGCGCGTTCAGGGTGGTATGGCCATAGACAAAACTATTTCTTAGTTTTCTAAGACAAGCTAGAAAGAAAGCAATCCAGAAGAATCTGAAATGAATGGTAATATTTATAATGGACTTTTAATATATGTTAGCAGAATCTTTGACTTGGGGATCAGGAGCCTTTCCAAAAGGCTTTTTTTTGAAGGAAAATTAGTTCGTGTTAAGAGGGGCCTTCCTCCTAAACCAACTTCTTTGTAACTGGGGATAGAAACCACTTATGCTGGTGGTTACTAATGCTTCTCTAACATTGATTTTTTTTTTCTGTTATACTTACAGTAGTGGGGAAAATTATGATTATTTTATAGATTACTGTTTAATAATTTGAGGAAAATTCAAAATATGTTAAGAAAAAGGTTATAAAATAGGACATAAAGGTTCTCTTAGCAAATCCATATTTTATAAACTGTGCCTATGTATCTATACCAAGATATTAGCATTGATTACTTTTGGTGGTGGCATTATGGAATTTTTTTCCTGTTTTTCCTTTTCCGTGGTTCCTAAACTTACTACTGTGAAACGTTTATTATTTAAAGAAAACATTATTTTTAAAACACTAAAACAGGGTTGAAATAGGTACCATAAAACAAAGCTAATAGACAAAGTTTATGTTAACTTCCATGTTTTAAATAAGGGAAGCCATTTTAATCCTGATAGGCAGAAGTATAGTGCCCACCCTTTGGACTTTTGTTTTAATATATGAGACTTTGTATTATTTTGTCCTTGGAATATTTGACCATTATTGTCAAAGGTAATAGGATTGAGAGTTAACAAGCATTTTATTTTAGTAACTAAAAATTTTAAACTATATTCCACTTAAACTGTTAAGAGCATTTCAAATCTTTGAGAACCATAGTATAAGTGAAGCTTGGGTTGTGAACTGCATGGAAATTTGGTAACTTTTGATGCACAGATGCATTGTGCAAGGACCTTGAGCCTCTAAGTGTAGCCCTGAATACAATTGCATTGTCTAACAGAGTTTTAAGCTGTTTGAAAACCTTTTTTTTTTTTTTTTGAGGAGTTATAAAACTATTGCCCTGGAAGGAACCATTGAGGCCCAGAAAGTTCAAAATTTGCCCAGGTTTCATAGTGAATTAACGTAGGAACTGATATTTATAACCTGTGCTCCTGGTTCTTTATACTGCACTTGGAATTTAATTACATAATGAATTTTAGCACAGATAATATATTTATACAGTTCAAAATTTAAAAGGTACAAAAAGGTAGTTAGCAGAATTTGAATAAATATTTGAATAACTCAAATGGTGATTGATTTTGAAGTTTATTTCACTATAATGATTACTTGTATACTTGTTTTGAATTTGTCATGCCAATAAAATTATGAAGCTCTACTCTAAAGATGAACTAAAACAGCATAGAAGTAACCTGGAAGTTAATCAGCCTATCTCAAAACTCCCCTTTGTCTATGGTCCTCCAAACCATTCTTAATCTAGAACAGATAGCACCTTACTCTGATAATGAGTACCAACCTAGGCAGAATTTTCTTCTTGAAAGGTTACAGGATTTGAGCATAGAAAACCAGGATCAGGATATACTGGAAGCACATAAATAAGCTAAATGCTGTTAGTAAATCCAAAACATACTATCATAGAAACAGTGTTGTAAAAGGTGGCTGGTTTCCCAGGCCAGCCACTGAAAGCTTATTTAGCCCATGGTATACAATATTATAGAATAGAATCAGACTTTTATAACAGTGCTTCTCTGAGAAACTGCTACAGATTTAAAAGAAAAAAAATTTTTAATGTTTATTTATTTTTGAGAGAAAGAGAGCATGAGGGGGAGAGGGACAGCGAGAGAGGGAGACACAGAATCGGAAGCAGACTCCAGGCTCTGAGCTGCCAGCACAGAGCCCGACGTGGGGCTCATACTCACAAACCATGAGATCATGACCTGAGCTGAAGTCGGATGTTCAACTGACTGAGCCACCCAGATGCCCCAAAACTGTTGCAGATTTTAAGTAGCCAATTAATGAATGAGCTTTGGGAATGAACCCTGTTTTAATGAAGATTTTCCTAAATTTTCCTAAGTCCATCATATGTTTGTTAAGTGTAAATCAAAAAGTTATGTAGTGATGTTTTAGGAACTTTCCTAGCTGTATAACTTTCTTCTTTATCTCTCTGACATACTGTGGCCTTTTTTGTGTATTCTGTTTAATTTGTAATTTGACCCTTCCAAATGGTTAGTTCTCCCTCTTGATAAAACTAATCTTATGTTTGGTATATGCTGCCTCAACTTGTCAACTAAATTGGTTAATTTTTTTTTTTAATGTTTATTTATTTTTGAGACAGAGAGAGACAGAGCATGAACGGGGGAGGGGCAGAGAGAGAGGGAGACACAGAATCGGAAGCAGGCTCCAGGCTCTGAGCCATCAGCCCAGAGCCCGACGCAGGGCTTGAACTCATGGACCGCGAGATTGTGACCTGAGCTGAAGTCGGACGCTTAACCGACTGACCCACCCAGGCGCCCCTAAATTGGTTAATTTGAGAGAATTTAATATTCACTGAGGCTGAGTTTGGGGGGCTTATGTGGAAGGAGGACTGTACCTGGCCGAATTATTGTGATTTGGAATGTGCTGGTGTTACACAGTGCTCACTTACGCAGTGAGTAAGTGAAACTGGAAGACTGCTTGGGGATATCATTTTATTTAAGCTTAAATATTTTTTATTATGATAACTACTACTCTTTCATGCTGTGTTAGTTTTACCTCTTTTACCTAAATAATGTTAAGTGAAAAGTAGGTAGTGCCTTCAAATCCCAAACTGTATATTTTAGCAGTATAATTACCCTCCAAAATGTAGACTGTGGGCACACTGGCTGATTTTTGCGTTTATTGGCTATAGGTGTTACTAGCTTTATACCTGCTATGTAGAAGTATGTAGTTAGGGCATTGTACAAAGGCACTTCAATGAGGGGACAATTGGCAACTGAAATCTAGTGTTAAGTTCCACTCTCCACTTGGGCTTTATCCACGGGAAGGACTAGTACCTTTTTCTGATTCTTCTACCCAGAGGATACACTTCCTAATATACACAAATACTAGTACATATTAAGGGAGGCCCTGATTAATTCCACTTTTTTTTTTAATTTTTTTTTAACGTTTATTTATTTTTGAGACAGAGACAGAGCATGAATGGGGGAGGGTCAGAGAGAGAGGGAGACACAGAATCCGAAACAGGTTCCAGGCTCTGAGCGGTCAGCACAGAGCCCGGTGCGGGGCTCGAACTCACAGACCGCGAGATCATGACCTGAGCTGAAGTCGGAGGCTTAACCGACTGAGCCACCCAGGCGCCCCTAATTCCACTTTTTGATCTGCATAGCACAGCATTTGTGAGCACTGAAATTTGACTCACTACTGATGATTATTGAGATGAATAAGGATTTAATAGATACATTTAGTACTTTAATTTTGCACATCAACCATTTTATTACAGCAGATGTTAGGATAAGAATGGATTGTTATAGTACATATTAAAATGTTTTAGTACTTGGTGGAATGATTTTTGCTAGTAGCAAAGTTTTAAAATAAGACTGACTATGCTTTGTTTTTATCCTGGTCCTTTAAAGTGTAAAGACTTATGAATCCAAGAATTTCCTAAGATACGTTGTGGCATAGTATGGTAGAAAAAACATGGGCTTTGGAGCCAGAAATACTCAGGTTCAAATCCCATCTTTGCCTTGATATAAAACTGGTACAGATTAAGAATTGTGTTATATTTTCTTCATCTGTCAAAATACAAATAGAACCAGTCTACCTTACTGGGTTGTTGTGAAGAATAGAAGACTTAATGTGCAAGACAGAGGCTGAGTATTCATTAAATGTTTCCCTTCTACCCCTTCCTCCTCTACCTCAATACCTTAAGACCTTAACTGTAAAATTCCAACAATTAGAGAGTGTGGTGGTGGTTTTGGTCAGCTTTAGCTTTATATTTGAGTTACGCCCCGAACGCTTTTTGTTTTTATACTTGTTGAACATAAATCCAAGGTGTATTTCTGTACTTTAATGTCTTACTAGGCAGATAGTCTCCCAGAGTACCATTCTGAACCCCATTTGAACGTCTGTTGCTAGCGTTCCATTATTTGAGCAGTTGCACGTGGATTTCATCACAGACAGATTTCATTGTTTCTTAATAAAGCCATGTCATTAGCTTAAATTTTTATTATGACCTTCCTGTTTGTCTTAGAAGACAAGTGCAGTGGAAAAAATTCTGGTTAGTGAGATTGCTCTCACTGGTTAAGATCATGAGGTAAGAAATGGACTTTGTTAATTTGGAGACGTGTAGACACAATTATTTGATTCTATATATGACTCTGTAGAACTGAACCAAGAAACAGGGAAACCCCAGATTAATGTTGTGTGTGAAAAGATAAGTGTATTATTATGACTAAATTTTAGGCTTTTCTTTTGAAATAACAAAGAGCCCCTAGATATCATAAAATCAGACTTAACAAATTAAGTATTATTTATAGATTATGAATAGTTAGTTTGTAACTTAAATTACAGTGAGGTCAGACCCTGTCTCTGACTCTGAGCAAGGCTACTGAAACTGTTGAATTTGTGCTGCTGTGTATGATATTTTGAAGAATGTGTGACCTGTACTTCTAAACCTTCTAAACTTATAGCTGAAAAAAAAAATACATTTTCATTTATTTAGGTTAAAAGACTTTTTTTAGAAGATGGTAAAGATACTATTTACAGGATATGTCAGCAGTTTTGAACTTTTACATGCAAAATATTAATTTGTCCTTTTCTAATAATTTATATACATAGGCGTTAATTCACGGACTAAACAGACACTACTACTCCATTACTATTAACTACCGAAAAAATGAACTGGAACAGAAGGTAAGTTAAAATTTTTATCTTAGAAAGCCATTTAAACTATTACCTAGTATGTTTGAATTTGATGTGTTTGAATATTTTTTCATTCCAAATGAATTTCAGGAACATAAAGGAATATTTTATTGGACATATTAAAGACATTTACCTTATTGGTAGGTGCTAAAATAGAGAATAAGTAGGAAATAAACGTTTATGTTTGGTTGTATGAGTTACTATAAAAATCTTTCTCCTCATTCTGTGATGTTTCTGATTAATGTATCTTTTCTAATAAAATAACCTGGGCGCCTGGTTATTCGAGGTGTGCCTGGGTGGCTCAGTCAATTGAGCGTCCAACTCTTGGTTTGGGCTCAGGTCATGATCTCACAGCTCACGCTTTCAGGCCCCGCATCAGGCTTCACGCTTCACACACTTCAAGCAGTGTGGAGCTTGCTTGGGATTCTCTCTCTCTCTCTCTCTCTCTCTCTCTCTCTCCCCCCCCCTCCCATTCTCTCCCCCTCTCTCTCCCTCTCTCCCTTTCTCTCTCTCTCTCTCGGCCCCTCCTCTGCTTGCTCTCTCTGTCTCTCAAAATAAATAAATAAACTTAAAAAAAAATTAAAAAGGGAAATGCAGTAGTGTTTTCAGATATTTACAGCTACATTCTTACCCTTTTTATACTAGGCAATTTTATTTTATTTTTTTTTAATTTTAATTCTCTTTAATTATGTTTTTATTTTTATTTTTTTTATTTTTTTTATTTTTTTTTTTTTTAATATATGAAATTTATTGTCAAACTGGTTTCCATACAACACCCAGTGCTCATCCCAAAAGGTGCCCTCCTCAATACCCATCACCCACCCCCCCCC